AACGCCCTGCAAGGTTGGAGATGAAGCGTCTGATAAAGGCTAGCCATCCTTGTAGACTTTTCAACTCGTGCAGGTTTCTTGGCTCGGGCATGCTTTGAATGGCCTTGATCTTTGATTGATCCACTTCAATGCCACAATGCTTGACAATGAAGCCGAGGAACTTTCCAGATGTGACGCCAAATGCACACTTTAACGGGTTCATCTTGAGGTTGTATTTTCACAACCTTTCGATCACTACTCGCAAATCCTTCAAGTGATCTAATCTTTTCTTTGTCTGGACCACCACATCGTCTACATAACATTCTACATTCTTGTGTAACATGTCATTGAAGATCTTCTGCATTGCGTGTTGATATGTAGCTCCAGCATTCTTCAGACCAAAGGGCATCACCTTGTAGTAGTAGATACCTTTTGGAGTGCGGAAGGCTGTTAGTTCCTCATCTTTAAGAGCCATACGAATTTGATTGTATCCAGAAGAGCCGTCCATGAATGATAGTGCCTCATGGTCAGTGGTTGCGTCCACCATGATTTCAATGATTGGCAAGGGGAAGTCATCATTTGGGTAAGCATCATTGAGGTCTCAGAAGTCTACGCAAACACGTATTTGTCCAGATTTCTGAAGGACTATGACGATGTTAGAGATCCATTTGGGGTATTGCACCTCTCGAATGAAGCCTGCTTCGATCAACTTGTCAATCTCGGCCTCGATTTGTGGGATGAGCTCGGATCGATAGCGTCTTTAAGTTTGCTTTATTAGTCGTGTTCTAGGCTTGACTGCAAGATAATGCACATCAATGATAGGGTCGAGGCCAGGCATTTCCTTGTAGGTCCAAGCAAAGACGTCCTTGTACTCTAATAGCAGCTGGTAATACTTCTCTATCTCGTCTGCACTTAGTAATGCACTCACGAAGATAGGCTTCGGTTCCTCACTCGTGCCTAAGTTGAGTTCTTTGAGATCGTCAACTGTGGCTTGCCCTCCATCTTCGAGTTGTGACGGTGCTACAATGACATATTCCTCGAGGATTTCATCTTTTTCAACTTCTTGGATTGTGATGTGGAAGACGTCTTGGGTCTCTTCTTCGGTGTTGACCTCTCGAGCTTGTTGGCATGAAGATTGTCCAGTGTGGATGATGGTGCGCCTTTTTACTTTCAGTGATCCAACTGTGTTAACCTCCAAAATTGCTTGGTGCTTCATTCTTAAAGGAATGGAACTTCGAACGTCATCCTTTTCTGCCAAATGATCGATCTTTTCTACTTCTAGTGTCGTCTTTCTCCTTCTAAAAGGATCTTTGGCTTCTTCAAGTCTTTCCATAACTGACTGTCGTGGAGGAAAGTTAGTCGTATTGCTTCGCTTCTTAGGTGCATCTTGGTTGCTTGTCCTCAGTGACGGTGGTGCAGAAGGTGCAATGTTGTTTGAGTATTGCCGAGCATGGTCAGGCATTTCTTGAAGAGGCACAGGACCAAAAGATCCGAACACGACCGTAGTGGTGTGCGTTGCAGCTGTGTCTTCTAGGTCGAGCTCAATCCGCCCTTGTTGTGCCAACTTCATGATGAGTTCTTTTAGGATGAAACACTTGCCCACATGATGACCCACGATACGATGATACTTGCAGTACTTGGGATCATTGATGCAATTCATCTCTTCAGGGCGTTTGCATTTGGGTAACTCAATCACCTTTTTCTCCAGCAGGTCGTCCAGCATTGCGTCCATGTCGGAGTCCGGAAAAGGGTATACCTTCTGCTCCAGTTCCCTCAAAGTGTTTTTGTACCTATCTTGGGTATGGGAAGGCTCACTTCTTTTTATCTCCTTTGCTTTGTTATTGAAGGAGATTTTGACGGGTGCGGACAAGGTCTTGATAGGGGTGGTATTGGTGGTAAAAGCTTCCTTGGCGGGCTTTTTCCCATGATTGTCTGCTCTTGAAGTAAACACCTTATCCCTTTTGAAATCGGTGATTGGCTCCTTCTTTCCGTGGTGGGCGATGCTCAGCTCCATGTCGTGGGCACGGGTGGCTAATTCTTCAAAAGTCCGTAGTTTGATACCTTGAAGGATGTATTGTAAACCCCATTACATGCCCTGGATGCACATCTCGATTGAAGAAGTCTCGGAGAGCCTGTCCTTACAGTCGAGGCTTAGATTACGCCATCGGTTAATGTAGTCCATGACTGGTTCTTCCTTCCATTGCTTCGTGCTCGTCAGCTCTAGCATGCTCACAGTGCGGCGGGTACTGTAGAAGCGGTTGAGGAATTCCCTTTCCAACTGTTCCCAACTGTTGATGGACTCGGGCTCCAGGTCCGTGTACCACTCAAAGGCATTTCCTTTTAACAAGCACACAAACTGCTTGGCGAGGTAGTCTCCCTCCGTCCCTGCATTATTGCAGGTTTCGACAAAATGTGCAACATGTTGCTTCGGGTTTCCCTTTCCATCAAATTGCATAAACTTCGGCGGTTGATAGCCCCTCGGCATCCTTAAGGCGTCGATTTTCCTGGAGTAAGGCTTCGAGTACAACGTGGAGGCATGAGAGCTCCTTTTGTACTGTGCCTTGATGGTGTTGGTGATCATCTTTTGCAACTGTTGGATAGAAAGAGATCCTATGAGTGCCGCTGCTTGGTCTGGCTCCGGCTTCACATCAATTTTCTTCACCAGAGGCTCCTCTTCTTCGCTAGCTCTTCTCTTTAGTGGATCATCCTCTGGGTCGGGTTTCTCGCCGTCCTACGCCTCCAGTTGGTTGACTAGTGCTGCAACTTGCAAGTCTTTTTCTTCCACAGTTTGGGTTAGCCTTGCGATTGCTTCATTCATTTGAGCCAGCTGCTCATCGATTGAAGTTGCTTCAGTGGTCATGACTTGCATGGTTGAACTACCGCTTGAATCGGCATCGGAGAGCATGGATTCGGAGTATTTCCTTAGGCTTTCCCCCCTTGGTGCCCTTAGTGAGGCTAAGGTGATCACAGGTTCGTGCCTTGGGTGCTCTTGTTCCCTTGGCAGAGTTGATGCAGAGGTGAAAGAGGCGGCATAAGTAGCTCTTGCCTTGCTTCGAGTCGTGATGCCCAAAGTGACACCACTTGCGACGAGGACGCTCTTGTTCTTTGCGCCGATTGCAGGAACAGTTTGAGCCTTCCTTGATGCCATTAATTTTGGAAGTGTGCTTTGAATTTCTTGAACGGAGAAAGAGATGAGAGGTAAAGATGTCCCACTGGGCGTGCCAACTTTGTGAACACGAAAAATTCCTAAAACGAAAGAGACAAGAACACGTGCACAAAATAATATTTGTATTTGATGATTTTGGGTTACAATCTCCCTCAAATTTGATCCTCTTATTCGATCTCCGTAAGGTGTTGATTTGTGGATGTGCGATTGATCCAAAGGGCCATTGGGCTTGATCTAAAGATGAACGTCCTTCAAGGGCCGTGGGCTTGATCTTGAAGGTGGATTTGAGCGGATCTTCAAGGAGCCGTTGGGGCTTGATCTTGAGGATGAGCATTTCTTCAAGGGCCGTTGAGGCTTGATCTTGAATAACGGTGATGAACGGATCTTCAAAAGGCTTTTGGGCTTGATCTTGAAGAACAGTGATGAACGGATCTTCAAGGACTTTTGGGGTTTGATCTTGAATTGGTGGAAGTTCTTCAAGGGGCCGTAGGGGCTTGATCTTGAAGGTGGATAATTGTTGAACCAATGGCCGTCGGGGCTTGATCTTGGAAGAACGATGAACGAAGAACGAAGAAGGCTTTCTTGATTCTTCGGGGATGAAAGGATGATGAACGATGAACACTTTCTTCAAGGGCCGTCGGGGCTTGATCTTGAATTGGTGGAAGTTCTTCAAGAGCCTTTAGGGCTTGATCTTGAATTGGTGGAAGTTCTTCAAGGGGCCGTCGGGGCTTGATCTTGGAAGAACGATGAACGAAGAACGAAGAAGGCTTTCTTGATTCTTCGGGAACCTGGATGCTTGAAAGCTTCGGAGTTTCAGAGCTTCAGAGCTTCAAGGTGTAATATGAATTGGTTTCCCTAAATGAATGAAATTGGCTTCTATTTATAGAATTTTCCAAGGCCTAATTTTTTTAATATAATATTCCAGATGAAATAAGTCGTTTCTGCCAGGTGTTGACATGTGTCCTGTTTGATGACTTTTCCGACTCATTTCAATTTTTCGTCGAGTCACATGCTACGTGTAAAATTTATGTAATACATGAGCGTTAAAACTTTGATTTATCGGTCAACATTTATTTACCGAAATTTCGATGTCTGCAACTCCTTTTTTTCTTTGCCACCTTTTTACCTTGAGGCCTTAGGGACCGACGAGTCGACTCTAGCACTGCTTTAGGCGTCCTTTCCCGCTCTTTAAATGTGGCGCCATCCTGTTGGTCCGGGTCTGCTTCTGGTGAACTGTGTAGAGGGATGTCGAGCATGACAACTTATGGACCAGTTGGCACAAGTTTGTATTTGGGACAATCTTTGACAACATTCCAACATTCCCATCTGGTGAATGATTTGTTTTTGTTGTTCGCATTGTACCATGCTTGTGCTTGAAGTGTTTATAAAATGTGGGATGAGACAATATTATAAAATGCGGGTGCGGGTGTAATACAAATAAATAATTAAAAATATTGATGCGGGTTGAATACGAATAAATAAATAAAAATATTATCACCTGATCTGCTAAACTTCTCCCACTACTCAGATTAGAGGAAGCATGAGAGAGGGCGTTTCTCCAACTAGTAAGCGAGTTGTTGAGTTTTTTTCCAACGATCTTGAAGACCTTGACTACTTCTGGCATCTTTTCCAAGCCTCTCGTAAAACGTTGGAGTAAGGACCCTGTATTTTCAAAAATAATTATATATAATTATGTGTTGTATATACTTATTAATTTCAGAAAGTTTTGTATTACTTATTTAATCGTTAATTCCTTTATTTCATTTTTCTACACTCTAATTTACTATTATTTTGAACCAAATAAGTTCAGGACACCATTACAGTAGTATTTGAACTATATATTCATATTATTCATTTTCTTCCCTTTTACATTATTTTATTAAGCTGTTCGTTCTATTCTAATTGGACCAAAACCATAGCCAATTAAAGGGCTTTTACATCAATCCTATCGAAGACTTAGCCGACTTTGTATAGTTATAAATAGAAACCCAGGGCTGTAGAGCGGTGCAGTCTGTGTACCGAGTAAGGACCAGAGACCGGAACTGAGAGAGGGCGGTGGAATCCATTCGACTCAACCTGTATCTCGTTGTGTATGGGTAAACGATTTCCATACTTCATTTATTCCCTCTCCTTAGTTGTTTCCTTTTTTATTGTTGTCTTGGATTAGCTATTGTTATCCAAAACTAGTTTATATGCAAGCTTCGTATGCAGGCATTGGCGGATCCACAGTGGGGTCGTCGGGGTCGCACGACCTCTTGGAAACCATGGAAACAACCTTGAAGCTCCCATATGCGACCTCTTGGAGCTGGGGTCGTCGGGGTCGGAGGCACGCCAACTGTTCGACAAAAGCCCTGAACGAAAACTGGGCAGGAAGAGGAAGAAGAAGCAGCCCAGTCAAATGAGCTTGGTTGTGTGCTTGGTTGCATGCCTGTTTTTGTCAAGTGAATGATATTTATACACATTGGCGGATCCACAGTGGGGTCGTCGGGGTCGCACGACCTCTTGGAAACCATGGAAACAACCTTGAAGCTCCCATATGCGACCTCTTGGAGCTGGGGTCGTCGGGGTCGGAGGCACGCCAACTGTTCGACAAAAGCCCTGAACGAAAACTGGGCAGGAAGAGGAAGAAGAAGCAGCCCAGTCAAATGAGCTTGGTTGTGTGCTTGGTTGCATGCCTGTTTTTGTCAAGTGAATGATATTTATACATGCTACTTTTTATAACTCTATCCAGTTTAATTGGTCTTTCTGATAAAGAAATGATAGGGGTTGGAGGAGTGCTATATGAGAACGAGAACATTAAGAAGATACGGAAATTAATTTGAAACATCAAGCTGTCAGGGAAAGAAAAAATTTGGATACGCCAGTAACAAGACAATAAAAGAGGAAGTTTAAGTGAAACTTACTTGCATGAATCCACATAAACGAATTATGATGTGATTTATGCCAGAATCTTGGGTCAGTCCCTATACTTTATTATTGTTCCATGCACAGATTAATTCGACACTGCACCAAACGCCCGACTAATGGAGTTAGTACTATCCGACGACTATTTATCTTATCCGACTGAAATAGTCAATACAGTCCGAAGTACCAAACGAGGCTAAAAAAAAATTTCGCGCTGCGCGCGCTATGACCCCATAAACATTTTTTTCTGGATCCGCCACTGTATGCAGGTGTGTTTATTTATGCAAAACCAGTTTTATATGAACAACCAAAATATGCATGTGCTTAAACCCTATTTTGGCACGTAAGAACTGGTATACTTATTTGGGTATTGTTTCCTGTTGGCTATATATATTTTGTTATAAAAGATGATATTCAAAAGGCTGTACATATGATATCAGTTTACCAGTTCTTTTATAAATTGGTTTGACAAATGGAATTCGGTTGGAGATTTCTATTTTCCCAAAACAACAACCATACTTTTATGCTATTTGAAATGAAGCATTCTATTGCATAATACAAAGAGTTTATATTACGAACTTTTACATATCATTCATAATACTAACGGATTCGTGTTTTTATCTAATATATAGCTTGGCTGAACTATGTTAATGTACTTATGTATTTTGAACAATACCTTTGCTTATTTTATAAAAGTATTCTAGTTCAAAAGTTCCTTCACTGATGGCCATGCTGTTATAAATTAACCAAATGACAGCATATTCGAACCACCTCTGCAGGGGTAAAATACATGATATGGGGCGTGCAGGTCCGCGTGTTTTATTATATAAATTAACAGGGGTAATTGAAGAGGTTGCATTGCATTCATGCATTATTAGCAATAATGATTTGATATCTGGCTATATGATTTCATGACACTTAATTTAATATTGTCAATTACTGTGATAAGGTTATCTGCTGAGCTATTGAAGCTCACCCCTCTATTGTTATGCAAGTTTAAGAACTAAACGGTCAAAAAGAGTAGACGGGATGAGATCGGATTAAGTGCGAGGATAGAATTTTGTATTTATTTATTTTAGTCTTGTAAAGAATTATCGATTTCTTGTTATAAGAGGAATTTCATATTTTTCCACCCAGTTTCACTTTCCTTTTATTTAATTTTATTTTTAGCTTGCGCGCCAGATTCAGGTTTGAGAGTTTTCCTATTGACCCCGGGTCCAGGGCGTGACAGAATGGTATCAGAGCATAGGGATTAGACACCCTTGGGGAAGTTGTGTTACCAATTAAATAGTCAGTTGAACTAAAAGAGCTAGAGCATTTTTGTTTTGTGGTATTAGTTTTGTCAAGTCTTTTGTTTGGACTTGAATTCATTTGACTGAGAGACTAGTAGGTCTAGTTAGGGGGTAGTAATATGGGTTGTTAGGTGTTAACGTAGTTGGAAGTAAAGTATCATTGTTTGCTTTATTGTTGTGATATGTTGAAATTTTATTCGGCTTATGTGGTACATATTACTTGTGTTGTGACTACTCAGTAGAAGTGGAAGACCCGTATTAAAAAAAAATTAAAAAAAAATCTTTAATTGGTTAGTGTTTTCTTCACCAGTGTGTCCAACTATACTATAGTTTTCCTAACTGCCGAGTGATGGACATGGTTTTGGTTTAGAATTGAATTGAAATATGTAAGGTTTACTTGGTGAGCAAGATCAAACACCAAGTCATGCAATAACACAAGTAATATGAGCTATGTATAAAGTAAGACTTAATTAGGGTTGTAACCGGATAACAACCATTTGGAGGGAAATATAAGGAACAAATTTGAATTTAAATGATGCAGTTAGAGTTCCTTTGATAATTGATTGCAATTGCTCACTTAATGGGAGGAAACAGTTGCAATGCATATATAGAAATGCTTGGTCCCTCTTCTCGGTAATCTATCCTTGTTCCATATAGTTTGGTTTGTCCCATTGAAAACTTGAGAACTCTAACGTGATTACAAGAGAAGAGAAGACTAACCATTGCCCTAAGAACCGATTCATCCACTGCAGAACATGGCTGCAAATTCAGGTTAGTGCTTCTGCCACTCAAGCAGTGATATAGCTGAGTTCTGCCGCTCAAGCGGTGGATTCTATAACTGTGCTATGCCGCTCAAGTGCTGATATAACTGTGCTCTGTCACTCAAACAAAATGCGAACCTTTTCTGTAAATTATTAGGGTTTGTGTATGTTCATTTAATGCCCATGCATAGCATAAATTCGTTGGTAAGGTTTGATGGTTTCGATCTCTAAAAGGACCAACAAAATGTTGAGATGATTGTAATAGAAAAAGCTGGCAATATGCGTGATATTCTACCTACTTAAGTAGTTGACCCCTACTGCATTCAAATGACTGAGTAAGCTATCTGTTAGCTTGAGTTCGTGCTAATCAAGTTGGTGTTGGAACTTTGAGTAGAAATTTCTTTGTCCCACATTGGCCATTCCCAAAAGAGTTTATCACTTTATAAGGCTTTGTCCTTTAAAGAAAGTAATTGGAGTAATAGGCCTGGAGACTAAAATTGGGCTCACCCTTTGGATTGGGCTTTGGGGTGTATTAATTATTTGGTAATTAATATATAATTAATTATAATTAATATATAATTAATATATATTTAATTGTCAAAAGATGGGCCTTGGACCTTGGGGCTCTTGGGCTCTAATAATTAAATTATTTAATTAATTATTTTTCGAATTTAATTAATTATTTTTAATTAAATTCGAATTTAATTAATTAATTATTTTTATGAAAACAGAGCAAAAGCATAGAGCAAAGCACAGAGCAAAGCACCCCTCTGAAGAGATGTCTCCCAACAGTCACACCCCATTTTCATACATGTTGCAAACAAGCATCCATCTGCTATATATACATCCATCTGCATGGCATTTAGAACACATAAATAATCAACTTCATCTTCTACATTCATAAACCTTCTTACTGAGAGAACCACACTAAATTCGCCAGAAGTTAAATTTTCTGGTGCTGGAATTTTAACTTGATCGTTGAATCCTGGTGAAGCAGACGTCCGTAGAACTACAAGCACAGAGTAGGGACGAAATTTCTGTTTCAAGGACATTGCGGTACGCAAGCCTCGATCTTCAAGTTGTCTCTTTTAGAATTCATATTCTAGTTTATATTCTGTTAGTTTCTATTGCATTTATTATTTATTAGCATATATAAATTATCACATATTGTTGACTTTTAACCAACAGTTGGAAGCTGGAATGGGTTTGCCACAAGGTGGAATAGGTGTCACACCACTAAACCCAAAGCGATTTGGCTTTACACGTTGCTTTTAGTAGGAAAGATCTTATTCCGTTCTGGTAAGTCTATCCATTCCACTCTCGCATTTCCCCTAGTATAAATAAAGACCAGGGTTTCAACTGCATACTAAACTCAGAAACAGAGAGAGAGGTTTCATCGAAATATATGGCGTCTAAATCATAAAACAATCACGAATACAAATGTAGTAAACCTGTAGCTCACAAAGCTTTAGTAATTATTTTCATATCCCCTGTATTTAGTTAGTGGCTATACTATGACTTTCTTAATATGTTTCTTTCCACATCTTAATCCATTTGGTTTTATGCACTGCATATTTGTATTGGCCGTTTTCATACGAAAGCTGAAGGGGCTGTGTGATATCAGTTGATGTACCAACCGATTCATTTTAAAAAGAAAATCTATTTGACATAATACCCTTGATAAATTTATGATATATCCCCAGTTTTCCCTTACATTTTCTATAGCTATTTTCATGTCCATCCATCATGTTGCTTTTAATTTTATTTAATGGTTTATCTGTCATGGATTTGTGAGCTTCCATGTTAGTTATCAAGCTACATACCCTTATGCTATACATGGTAATTATGTATGAAGTAAAGTATGTATTTAGTGCTGGAAATATGTTGGATATACATAAATATGCATGTACGTATATATACATGTGTTTCATTAGAGGCATTTCTATAGTAATGTTCTTTTTGTTATGAGTATGTTGTTTTAGATTAACCAAAATCACTTTTGAATTGAGTGCTGTACTTCATTTCACTGGTTGATTACCATTGTTTCCGTCATGTTAGTTCGTTGGGATTCAACCAATTAGCTGGAGTACGAGATTACCAATCATCATTGTCTTTAGGTAGTGCATGGTGTTCAATGATCTCAGGAATCCTATGGTGGTAGTTACCAACTAAGCCATACTTGAGATAAAGTGTATGAATACTCGTACTAATCTATTTTCTTGGTTAGCAAACATCACCTCTCTTATGAGAAACCTTTAGTCATGGACTATCTTGAAGTTTTTGGTTGAAGATTGTTGTAGAATTGAGAGTCAAAGGTTATCTGAGATACAAGTGACTCTCTTAAACGTAGGTTCAAATTCAAAGTTTGGACTACTGGAAGTAGTCATTTATTCGATAAAGTTTCGGAGAAGAAACAAATTCACATGTGATCCATGTTATTCATTGAATTTTCATGGATTAATTCTATGGTGGTGATTGGAGCACAAGCTTCTGTTAGGGTCCATTAGATGACTGGAGTTATTCTATGTTTGCATAGTTTTGCAAACACCACATCTCTTTCAGAACAGACTTAGTTGGGAACCGTCCTAAATTTATAAGATGGGGAATGTCTTAGAACTTTGATGTAAGAGACTCTCTTAGACAGGAGTTTAAAATTAAGGTTTTGATTTACTGAAGTATTTATTAGTTCGATCATGTTTAGGAGAGGAAACCTCACATGTGACTCACTCATAATCGGAAAGGTAATGGTTAAGTGATATTCTCATTCCTACACGAGTTGGTATTATATACATGGTGATTCATTCCTATACAATTGGGGTTGTA